GTAATTTTGAAGTAACAAACACCGCGTAAATATAAAATTGAGTTCAATAACAAAATGTGCATAGACATCAACAAATGAATAGAAAAAATTAAATATTTACTGAACAATCCCAATTTATTGGTGATTATCATAAAATGTTGGTCATAAAAAAGAGGTAAATATTGTTTGCCTATTTTCTATCTACATAAAGTGTTCTTTTAAAATTAAAGTTTGTGGGCGGAGATTTGACTCTCATTCAATAACAGAATATGCACAGAATTGAACAATGGAGGTATATAGTGTTGTTACGTGAATTACAGTAGCACTCATTCTCATTTACACATCACTACCGGAGGCAAACATTTACGAAATTATAATCAAAATAAGAAATTTTTTCAGGAGATTATTGTTTTTTATAAGGATTAACATTTTAGATTGTTTCGTCAATAACCACGAAATGTGAAAATTTTGTGTGGACCAATTAGAAGTACCTTTAATATTTTAGTATTCGCCAAGAAATTATTACAAAAAAATTATTCTTTCACATATCGGAAAAGCAGGTAGCGATTGCGCTTTGCCTTCATCACGCGTGTGTCTTTTTCGTTGGCAGTTGTTTCATAATTGTTGTTGTTTTTTTGATAGAACATTTTTGTATGACACACTATTCAACATTCCCTTTTATTGGTCATTACATGTTATGACGATGGGTTTGAGTGTGACCGACATGACGAAACATCGAGCATTTGGTTGGATGTCACGTACTGTTATGCGTTTGATCAAACAGGGCACAACACGACGAGCGTTTTCTCTCCATGACATAAATAGAGAAAATTGTCACATTTGCAGCCCTTTAATGTGTATGGATGATATAAGGCTGAGTTTTTGGAAATTCGAAATATCAGTGAATTGAATTATGTGAAATGAAATAAGTGTAATAAAAGTACTAAAAAGCAATAAATTTAGTACCATTTGTTAATATGTGAACGGACTGAGGCAAAATCTTGACATTTGGTAAACAAATTAAATTTGGGAAGTAGGGTTACTATGAGGAAGTGATTTTGGATACGTGTACTAAGCAGTATTCGAAAATAAACAGTACACAAACATAGTGCACTGTACCGGTACAGTAACACCAAAAAAATTTTAGTGGTAGTGTACCGGTACATTTCCACTCGGGGGCGAAACTTGCTCGTGAGCAGGATTGCTCAAAGAGTGGTTCTAACTCCAGTTGCAAAAATTCGGCAACTTTTATGGGTTGTAACCAGAGGTCTTCTGAGTGAGTATGGCAGAGCTCAGATTTGCTCATTTCCACTCGGGAGCGAAACTTGCTCGTGAGCAGGATAGCTCAAAGAGTGTTTTTTACGGAATCTACTTTTCACTCTTTTGGTTTGTGTTGGAGCAGTCCTAGGTCACTTCTGTTTGAAAAATTAGAGTGGGAGTAGAATCATTCAAAAGAGTTTGTTAGAGAGTGAAAATAATTAGATTTGTGTGTGTATGTGATGTTGCTGTGAACTTTGAAGGGAGGGAGCCCGGGGTCACAGGTTAATCGTGTACAAAAAAAAAGAAAAAAAAAAAAAAACAGCAGAATGTATTGCAATGACCGGTGGTTTTTGCGTTGTCATAATTTATTAGGATGGCGCATGCATAGTAGGTTGCAGTCTAAAACGTTGTTATGGTTACAACGTATTGGGAAAGGATCGCACTAAAAGTGCCAACTCCACATTCTGCACGGTAAAAGAGGATGCCCCCACCCGAACAAGAGGAGAGTGTCACAGTTCGGAAGACAACCATAGTGACTGAGGTCCTATCATCCTTTTTTCCAGGGTTCGAGTGAGTACCTAACGAAAGTTCTCAACCTAGCCACACACATAGTTCCCGACGCCTGGAAAATGTGCCCAATGGACCCGCTGCTGAAGCCGGCAAAGGCGAACAACACAGGCCAACTTCCCTTCGCCAGTAGCTCAGACCCTTGATGCTTTACTCCTACCCAGCATTAGAGGAAATTATCCAGTTGCCAAACCGCAGCACAGATTCCGTCCACAACAGCATTGCACGCAATTTCCACACATATTAGAGGATTGAACCAAAACGATCCGTGTCATAGAACAGCCGTGTTAGCCGGCAGCACTTTGGGTGCGAACAAGGAAACCTTGTTGACCTCTTATAACCCGATAGGTCGGTATGTGGTCAGCGATGCGGCTCCAGTATGGTCTGCGAATACTAATACTACGCAGTAGCATGGAAGGACATCCAGACCTGCCAGAACTGCGACAGGGTGCCCCCTCATGACACCTGTAAACCATGTAGATGAGTGGGCGAAACTCATTCCCGTACGTCAGCATAAGCATATGCTTTCGTTGCAGTACCTGTTTGGGTGTTATCGTTGGAGTCATCCCAACCATCATATGGTGGATACAACTCCCCCAACCCATGCGTGTCAGGAAGGACATTCATGATGTAGAGAGGGTGAAAGAGCCTCTAGATCAAGAGAAAGAAAGAGAGAGTCTCTAGATCAAGAAGCCTATCAGGCAGGTCTGAGTGGTATTCATACTGATGTAGTCACAGATGCCATCACCTATAGTTTGGGGCAATTACGTTCAGCACCTCTTTAACTGTCAGCCAAACCCAACCCACTTCAGACCTTCGAAAAACTCGCTCGATTTTGCTCATAGAGTGAAACTAACTCGAATCCGACGACGTCATTAATACTATAATTATTGACACTGGTGTCATGAGAAGGCACCCTGCCACAGTTCTTGGGGCAGTATTCTGGCATGTCTGGAAAGCCTTTCACTGTGTAGCACTTATGTCCGCAGAGCAGATTGGGCCGTTTAGCTGACCACGGACCGACTTATCGGGTTATATGAGATGAACAAGGTCTCCTTGTCCGCACCCCAAGTGCTGCCGGCTAGCGCTTTGTTCCTACTTTTTATTTTGGTTTGTCGCTTGGCTTGCGCGTACGACTTGAACATGCTGTGGAACGTGACCCCTAGTATCTTGGGTAGCTCGTGCTCGCTATTATATTTCCCTTGACCAGCACATTCAGCTTTGATTTCATCTCCGCAGACCATGTGGTAAACAGTTTGGCCGTTGATTTAGTGGCGGATATTTTCATATTCCTCCCGTGTAAGTAGGCCGAAAGCTCCGCGAGATAGGTGTTCGACCTTACACACATGTACAACCTGCATACGTAACGATAGCAATCCCGTCTGGAGGATGAGGTATTCCGGAAAGGTAAAGGTCAAACAGTTCCGGAGACATCTCACTTTGGAGAGCTCCCTGTTTCACTCCACGATAGCCCTAATTCTTGTTCCAGAATTCCGCTCCCGAATGGCGTCCACACATACAGTTGATTATCCAACACTTCAAACTTGGCTGAATTGTAGCCCTCTCTACATCTTCTAAAAGTGTGACGACTGTATCAAACGCCTTTGATTAATCAAGGGCTACCAATACAGTTCTATGACACGGCTAGTTTTGGTTTAATCGCCGACTGTTTTGTATTGATATGGCGTGCAAGGTTGTTTGTGTCAATGGTTAGCCACTGGTCAATGGTTAGCCACCAGTACAAAGACTCCTTTGATGCTGATTCTTTGTACTGGTGACAAAAGCGAAATTGACCTGCATTTGCTAGTCCTGCTGGGAAATTTTGTCTTATATCCGGAATTCGATCAGCAGGTATATAGCGTGCGGCTACAGAATTGATGATGCCTCAGAAAATACTTTCAGCAACCCGAACAGCAGAGGTTTTGGGTATTTACCTGAAGAGAATGTTTGTGAAATCTTTCCCGTGGTTAAGGAAAGTGCGGAAATTTGACCTCCTAATAAATACGAATCAAGAGAAATTATAGGCTATACACTATGGTTAAGTCTGGCGAACTGTAGCACTAACGTCTTAGCATTCGTGCAGCACGACCACTTTTTAGGTCAGATTTGAATAACTCTATAGTTAGATTTTCATTATATTAAGTATAAAAAAGTCTGATTTGTTTTATATGTTCAATCAGTTGTTTGGCGAGGCTTATTGCTGGTCTAAGCAATAGGGAAACTTTGTGTTATAATTTGAATGGAGCAACGTAGAAAAACCGAAACGATTAACATACTGCTCACACGAAGTCACAAGCTTTCATTTTTTTAATCGTTTTCTACCAAGCAAAACAAAACAACAAACATTTTAATGCCAGAAGCACACGAACAATGCTTGAATGTACTTCGAATGTGAGTTGCCGAGCTGTATCGTTTGCGGTTTGTTCCGAGAAAATACAGAACGAAACAATCGCTAACGTTTATTTCATTTATTTTCATAAATTGCAATGTACTTGAATTGATTCGCCTTCTTTTCTTATATTTAGGTGTTTTTCTTGCAAGATAGTCGGTTGAAGTAGATTTGTGTTCGCCATTTCAATGTTCAAATGTTCGCCTTCATATAAGGGTTATACCAAAACGTATGTTTTTGAGTTCAAATTGTTTGACTTCTATATGATTTTTCAATTAACTTATAGTTATTTCATATTTAACTTATAGTTAGTTTCTTAAGAAACCACCAATGGTTGATCTCCAGTTGACTTGGTAGGTTACTCTACTGTCGTAGTAAACACACATTTACTCAATTTAAGCACACGAACAAAAGACTAATGGTTTGATGTCATCGTCGACATATTGCTTTTTGGAGAGCACCATGCATATTTTCGAGTCGATCATGAAACGGTCGAACCGGTCGAAATGCACACATGAATCAAACTGGGGATTGTTGTTGGTTGCCAAGGTCGATTAAATACTTAGCACATGATTGAGTAGACAGTCAGTGTGTCGAAAAATACAGATTTGATACAATTTGTCTTGTACCACCCCTCTTCAATTCTTAACCAATATACGTCAATCATTTTTTTTTCGTAAGGAAATACCCTAGACACATGTTAATGGAGAAATTGCTCCAAATTGAGAATTATTAAAAATATCGAATGTAAGCGTTAGACCCCAGTTGTGTCTCAACAATATAAATTTAATCATTTTACACTTACCTAACGGCACGGCGCAAAATTCGACGTAGCACATAACCCCGGCCGGAATTGTCGGGAACTCCTCCATCGGCTAAAGCAATGGTTAGAGTTCTTGCATGATCAGCCAAAACTCGATAGGCCATATCTACGCCGGTAACATCTTCTGCTCCAACTTTACCTCCATATGGAGCACATCCTGTTCCTACATGAATAGCGTCAAAAAGAGGTACAAATATGTCAGTGTCGTAGTTTGAACGTTTATTTTGAATGACTGAAACCAAACGCTCAAAGCCCATACCACAGTCAATGTGCTTTTTAGGCAATGGTTTCAAGGACCCATCTTGTTCTCGATTAAATTGAATGAAGACTAAATTCCATATTTCCAATACATCGGGGTCATCCATGTTTACAAGCTCGGGGACACTACGACCACCTATACGATCAAAATGTAATTCGGAACATGGACCACAAGGCCCCGTCTCCCCCATTTCCCAAAAGTTATCTTTCATATTGCCTGGTATGATATGTTCAGCTTTTAATCCTAAATTCATCCATATTTGCTTGCATTCTAAGTCTGGCTCCAAACCACTTGTTTCATCTCCACCAAAGTACGTCACATACAATCGATCCTTATCCAATCCTAATCGCTCCGTTAAAAACTCCCAAGCCCAGGCACATATTTCCTTTTTGAAATAATCACCAAAGGACCAATTTCCCAACATTTCGAAGAACGTGTGATGATAAACATCTTTACCAACATCGTCTAAATCGTTGTGTTTACCACCTGCACGAATACATTTTTGACTATTGGCTACACGAAGCCACTTTGACATGTCACTATTGGGATCTGCTGTTCCTAAGAAAATAGGTTTAAACTGATTCATTCCAGCATTTGCGAAAAGCAGCGTTGGGTCATCCAAAGGAATAGTACTGGATGAATGCACATAAATATGATTTTTCTCCTTAAAAAAGTCCAAGTAGGCTTGGCGGACTTCAGCAGCTGTAAGAAAATGCATTTTGATGATCCAGTCAGAAACCTGAAATGAATTAATAATGTAACAATGTGCCACGTTAGTGGAACATGTAAGCAAATTAAAAAATATAAATATGTGAATTTGTGGATGTACTTTTGAGGGGAATAAAAAACAAAAATATGTAATTTAATATTATAAAATATTATTGATAAAATTCATTTAATTGCAATATTTTCAAACTCACCAATTTATGTTAACCACTTTAATGCAGATATTTTAGTTCCGTTTCGGCTAGTACGTTTATGCATGGGTATAGGGACGTGTATGTCGACTTTCGAAGATTAAAATTCAACCTTTAGAATCAAGGGCTATATAAGGTCCATGTTAGAAGAATACAGGTAGTCGCATCGACACAACTGCTGGATAAAAATAAACTATCAACCCGATTTTGGAATCGTAAACGTTTTTTTTTTTTTTTTTTTTATAATTGTTTAATTTATTGAATCTTTCATATATTTAATGAAATTAACAATAAGGTTTCATATCTTATATACTAATATTTTTATAGGGAGGTTGTCAATACAATCACCCCATATGTTTTTCATGCTTTAATTATTATTGTTTTTTTTTATAATATAGATGTGTGTTATTTTGTGGGCTTGTGGATACAGTTATATCCGTGAATTGATTGGATAGGTAGTTAAGATTAGTTTAGATACAGATATATCTAAGTGAATCGTGGACTACAGAAATAGTCTTACGGATATAATGTTGCTTTGTTTAGATACAGTTATATCTAATCATCCCGCGGACTACAGTAATAGTCTTATCGATTTCTTCACTAATCTTCCCGCGGACTACAGTAATAGTCTTTTCGATTTCTTCACAGAAGCAGCTTCCAATTTAGCATACTACTACCTGCAGAAGTATAAAAGTGGGCGACATTCAATTGGCCAGACAGGAGCTGAAAATAATGAGAGCGTAAGACAAAAAAATAAACTATATGATAGAAAGAGTGTCACGTCTGCGCAGTCTATCGTGGCCTCCGAATAGTAGGAGTTGGCGGGCCAAGTTATTTGGGTGCTCGGATAGTTTGTTTAAGTACCTGCGGCAAAGCTTCTTTATTTCTTCTTCAACAGTAAGTATATTTAGGTCCTTGTGGATGTTTGCGTTCCTTATGTACCATGGTGCACCTGTAATAGATCGAAGAATATTCGACTGTCTTCTTTGTAGTTTACTTACGTTAGAGGCACTAGCTGTACCCCAGAGCTGTATGCCATACGTCCAAATTGGCTTTATTATAGTCTTATATAATAGGACTTTATATTCTAATTTAATAGAAGAACGTATACCAATTAACCACTCAAGATTGGCCTTTTTTAGTTTAATTTGTGTGATTTTTGCATCGATGTGTTGCTTCCATGTAAGTCTTCGGTCCAGGTGCATTACGAGATATTTTACGGTATCTTTCTGTGGAACTTGAGTATTAAAGGTTTTTATCGTGGGGCAAAGTTCACGTCTTAGAGCAAAAGTAACATGTATGCACTTGCTAGCATTTACCGATATTCTCCATTTTGTCAGCCAATATTCGAGAAGATATACATGGTATTGTAGTTTTTCCGACGCAATCAGAGGATCCTTGTGTATGCTAATGAAAGCAGTATCATCAGCAAACGTTGAGGTTAGAGTTTCATTGGTTGTGGGCATATCGGCAGTAAATAACACGTACAGAATTGGTCCTAAGATATTACCCTGTGGGACGCCAGCCAATATTTTTCTCGAATTTGAAAGTATGTCTTTCGATTTAACAACAAACGTACGATTTGACAAATAACTACAAAAAAGTTTATGAGTGTTTTTAGGTAGAGTTTCACAAATTTTGTATAGAATTCCAAGATGCCAGACTCTGTCAAACGCTTGGGAAATGTCTATAAATAGCGCCGAGCAGTACTCCTTCCTTTCGAATGCCATTCTAATGTTTGTGACTATGCGGTGCACTTGCTCAATAGTACTGTGGTTCTTACGGAAGCCGAATTGGTGGTCGGGGATAATACTGCTATTGTAATATGGGGAGTTAACTTCCTTAGTAAAGTTGTTTCGAACAGCTTTGAGAGTATAGATAGAAGACTGATGGGTCTATACGATTTTACCTGCGTTGGATCTTTTCCAGGTTTCGGAATCATTACTATTTCAGATTCTTTCCATACAGACGGGAAGTACCCTACTCGAAGAATGCTGTTAAATATAAATAACAATAATTTAACGGCCGGTGTTGGTAATTTCTTGAGCATGTTTGGAGTAATTCTATCTTTACCCGGGGATTTTTTTAGTTTTATCGAGGCTATAGAACTTTCGATTTCTTTTAGAGAAAATCGTATTGGATTCGGAACAATGTCGTCAATTAAAGGTTGAACAACTGTCGATGGTCCGGGATTTGGGGTAAATACAGATTCAAGATGTTCGGCAAATGCGTTTACTTTTTCTTCTGTAGATCTTGCCCAAGTCCCATTTTCTAGGCGAATTGGAGATTCGTGGGCGATAGGTCTTCTCAAGTTTTTTGTGGCTTTCCATAAGCTGTAGTCAGTTCTCTCTGTGGGATCCAGGTTATTTAGGAATATTTTTAGGTTTCGCTCTTCATTTAATCTGAGTGCTTGTTGTAAGAGTTTTTCACATTCTTTTAGTTTTTCCCGAAACCTAGGTGATCGGTGCTTCTGCCATTCTCTTCTGGCCATCCTTTTATCAGACACGAGTTTTCGAATGGTCGATGGATTATGGGAATTATTTTCTAGTTTTGAAAATTTAGTGGGAGTGGCAACATTGACAGCGGTGTTGACTATCGAAGTAAATATTTTAACTGCATTGTCAATTTCTTCTCCGGACTTTAGAGGAGTGTTAGAATTCACATGTGTACTGACATATTTTTTGTACTTCATCCAGTTTGTATATTTATTTGGTAGATAATCCGGGGAAGTTGCGAGTTGAACATCATTTAATGTTATTATAGTTGGGGAATGGTCTGACGACAAGTCAAACGAGGGTACCACGGACATTTGTTCCCTCTTAATATTCTTTGTTACCGCAAAGTCAATTAAGTCAGGACGTTTTTGCAGGTCTGAAGGCCAGTAAGTAGGCTGGCCAGTAGATAACACGTCCAGTTTAGCGGACGAAATGGAGTTTAAAAGCTGTCTACCTCTGGGTGTAATAAGTCTAGATCCCCAGAAGGTGTGTTTGGCATTATAATCTCCAGCTGCAATGAATCTACTACCAAGAGATGAGAAAAAGTGTGCGAATTCATCTTTGCTTATACTATGTCTCGGAGGACAATATATTGCAGATATAGCTGTATTCGTTGAAGATAGTGCAACTGTTGTAGCTTGTAGGTGGTCAAACTTATATTCTGGCATGGGGTAATGCTGAATTTTATTAGAAATTATCACCGCGGTGCCACCGCAAGCTCTCCCACTAGGGTGTTTAGTGTCGTATGTACTGTAACCGTTTATTCTAAAACAGTTTCTAGAAGTGAAATGAGTTTCAGATACCAGTAAAATGTGTATGTTGAGTGAGTGAATAAAGTTTTCGACTTTGTGTTTATGTTGGCTTAAGCCGTTTGCGTTCCAAAAACAGATTCGAATTTTATCTATTTTTGTTTTAAAACTATTTGCATAATCATAGATTGATTTCTCACAATATCTTGCATCATGCTTTGCATACTTGTCATAAAAGAATTCATGGTGACGATTAGTTTTTCGATGGATGATTCTATATTTGAATTTTTATAGTTGGGTGAGTCATTTCTCAAAGTATCAGAATATAAGTATTGCATATTCTGTGAGGGGAGATTGTAATTAGGAGCGGTGGTTTCATTCCTCTTGTTTAGCTCGGGGAACTCAGCTGTTTTGATATTAAATTGTGGATTTTCCCGTACCCGGTAGCTTGTAGGCTTTTTTGTGGCTAAGCTAGATTTTGTTAAGTGGATATATACAGGACATCCTCTGTAGTTTGAGTTTGATTTCCACCGCAATTGCTGCACTTTTTGACGCTTGGGTCAGTTTTGGGATGTGGACATTCCGATGATTTGTGGAGGTCACCACAAGTAACACAAACCGATAGCAATTTACAATACGTTTTGGTATGCCCATACTCTTGGCAGTTTGTACATTGAGGTTGGCCTTTTCTTTTTTGAGGTTCTTCAATTTTCACACCGCGATTACAAAGAAGCCTAAGGCTATAAATTGGATGAAATTGTCCCTTTTTCTTTAGTTGCGAAGATTCGTATGTTAGTTCTACTTTAAACATAGGTTGCGGAATTTTATCTTTATTGAAAATGTTGATGATAGACTTTGTTTCGAATCCTTCTGCTGCGAGAGCATCTTTTATGTCCTCTATGGGTGTAGAACTATGAAGGCCTTTAATGACGACGACTAGTCCTTTTGAGCTCTTAATCTGATAGGTGTAATAATTCTTCTTCTCAGAATCCAGAGCACGAACTAGGTCCTTATAATGCGACTCAGTATAGGTTTGTATTTTCGTCTCTTGGAGATTTCCTCTCTTAAGAGATACCACGTGAAAATTAGGTTTACCCAATATTTGGGAGAGTTTGTTCACAAGATTGTTTGTAGTTTCTTCGCGAAGATATAGTGGGGGAGGTTTTTGGGATCTAACCGGTTGTATCATTTCATCAGCCTCGTTATTCGAGCCGAGAATTGAGAATCTGTTGTTGCGGTCATTGTTGGAGTTCTAGAACTAGCCTTACGCTTTGTTACTAAGACATATCGGTCCATGCCTGGAGGAACTATGTTTTGCTTCTTGTTTTTTTCAAGAGACTCATGCTTACTTGAAGCGATAGTTTCTTGATGTACAATCGCATCGTGTGATAGCACCTTTATAGAATTTATTTTGGGCGTGTTTACATTGTTTTGTTTATATGACATTTCTGTTGTTTCGTTGGGAGTAGTCTCACCTGGCAAGTTTTTGTCATGAAAAACTCTCGGCGATGCCGACTTAGAACGGCTTTGGGGTTTAGCTGTAAGATACCAGCTTTCGTGGCGTTTTGGCGCGGTTGAGCTGAAATCTGTCGACGTCAACTTAAGGTATACGTTTTGCCCGTTCTCACTTACATTTCTCTCTTCCGTATGAGAGAGTGACATACACTTGTTGTTGTTAACACTATAACAAACCGACTTATGTGCTTGGGAAAAAGAGGATAAAGTAGAAAAAAAAAAACTATTTTGCAAAAATTCTTAATAAAAAGGATTTTTTTAGCAGGTTTTTTTTTTAGATTATATTTCCTGAGATTATTTAATAGCGTACTGTTTGCTTTTATATTATTTATTTTGCTTTGCTTGTGAAAAAAACACCTTTCATTAGCAACGAAAAATAAAACGC